AAGTTGCCACCCTGTCCCGGGAGCAGGCAGAGGAGCAAAGCAAAGGATCCTAGTGGCAGAGGCAACATCAGCAGTGCCAGCGAGCTCCGAGCTCCAAGGACATGGACGCCGAGAACCAGATGTAGAGGAGGCCTCTCTCAACCTGGGCAGGACTGCCTTTGCCCCGCAGCCTGGGCTCTCACGGCTTGGGTTTCTCGCAGTCCTTTGCCCAGCCTGGCCTGCCCATTCTCTGTCCATGCATCCAGTGACTCCATGGTCAACATGCCCTGGGACCCCCACCAACCCTGAGCGATGGCGCCTTCTGATCTTCCCCAGAAAACCAAACCAAACAATATCGCTATCAGATATTTTCTGACAATGACACTGACAGTAGTAGAGAGGAAATACAGAAATAAAAGAGCAGCACAGCCTTTGCTCCTGTGAGTCTTCTAACATGGTGGTGCACATCTGTAATCTCATCTACTAGCGGGGCTGGAGAACCTCCAAATTTGAGGCCAGCCTGGACTAGTTAGCAAAACTCTGACTCAAAATAAAATTTTAAAAGGACTGAGGATTTAGCTCAGTAGTAGAGCACTTGTGTAGCATGTATAAAGTCATGGGCTCCATCCCTAGAATGAAGGAAAAAAAACCACCCTACAAACAGAAGTTTCCCAAGAGTGATTCCTTTGGTTGGGTAAGGGGAGGCACCATAAGTCCTTACATTCCCTTCTGTAGTACCTGTTCAGAGTAGCCAGAGGGAGGGATTCTGTCATCCAGCTGGGGGAACTAGCACCAGTCACTGACTCTGCCTCAGTTTCCACATTAGTAAAATGGGCATAGCACGAGGAACCAATTCATAGCATTGTTGTAGGGGTCCAATTAGATGATCCTTATGAAGTACAACATGTGGCAGAGTAAATAGGGGACAGAATATCCTTTCCCATCCAACTCTAGCCATATGGTGTGTGTTCTTAATGTCCCTTCACTTCTCCAACTGAGACAACCCTCTTTCTGCCTGCTGATGTCAGAGACCCCCTCTAGGCCCATGATGAGCCTCCAGCCTCCTTTCCTATCCTTTTTTTTTTTTTAATTGGTACTGGGGATCTAACTCACGACCATACACTTACAAGGCAGGCACTTATGCTACTTAGCTAAATCCCCAGCCCCATCCTTTCCCATCCTTAACCAGACCCCTTACCTCTCTGCACACTGTTTTTGCTCTTCCTGAGTTCTGATCGCTGCCTTCCATATGACCCTCTCTACAGTGGTGTTGCCAGGCCTTTTTCTCACACACAAGCACACACTGACCGACTGCTGAGGCTCAAGTTAAATGCCAAGTGGTGCCTAGCACTAAGCTTTGCTGACTCAGAAAATGTCTGTTCCAAGGAGGCTGTGAGAGAGGCCTGGCCCACCTCTGAGCTCCCACCCCACTCCAGCAGCCCCTCCTCTTCCCTGCAGCTGGTTAAAATGTAACCCTGCCACCCAGCACCAGCTCGGAGGCCATATTCACCTTAGTCGTGGTGACAGGTTGACGACTCCTAGAACAGGCCCCTTTCCTCTTCTGGGGGTTCCTGCTTGTATGAAGCCTGGCAGAGGGGCCACCAGCAGGGCTAGAAACCTGAGGAAAATGTCTCTGGCTGCCACTAACTTCTGTTAGTAGAATGGATATTTTTCTACAATTACAACCTTCCCTCCTGTGTTTCCTAGATGGTAAATACCAAGGATATGCATTACGTTTCCCATAACTTATTTTCAATGATCAAAAAAGCTCCTATGAATAGACCCACTGCTGATAGAGGATCTGGCTCTGAAGCTGTCTCAAAGGCTCCAGGCTCCAAGGAGGTGGCTACATGCTTAGCTCAAAGATGACCACTCCTCCAGCAGCTGTTCCAAAGGCCACTGGCCCTTTCCAGAAGGTTAACAAGAGATGGCAGAGATTCGTGATGGAAAATATGGACCCCTGACTGGAGGGCGTAGCACTGTGCTAGAGTACAGGCTCACATGTGTGAGGCCCTGCATTTGGGCCCACACACCAAGGGGTGGGGCTGGATTCCATGCCTGGATACAATCCTAGTGTGACCCCTCACTAACTGGATGACTTTGGGGAAGTCAGGAAACCTATGTGGGCTTCTCTTTCCCTATCTGTGATATGGAAGTGGCTGTAACAGTTCTTGGTTGTTAGATAGGTTAAAGGATATAATATCTGTCAAGTATTAGTACTCTCTAAGCACCATCACCTGGGGGTGATTTCCGTCAACTACCCAAAGCTAATACCTGCAGAGGCTGACTCCCAAATGTACCCTACTAGCCTTAAAGGACTACACCCTTTCTAGAGGTGAAAGATACATATAAACATCACACAACTTGCACATACCTGTATGTCAGCGCTCTAGGAGCCTGAGATACGAGAATCATGAGTTAGAATCCAGCCTGGGAAACTAGCAACTCATTTATCTCAAAACAAAAGAAAGTCTAGGGACATAACTCAGGGTGAAGGCCCCAGGGTTCAATGCTTAGTGCCACAGGAAACAAGGAACATTACACAATTTACCCTTTAATTATTGATGTTATTACTGACATTAAAACTGTCCTTATGAATTAATCAATTTTTCTCAACTTTTACTGTTCCTCATTTGTGTTGCATGCAGACACTCTTGAGAAGGGGAACTCTAAAAAAAAACAAAAAGAAAAAGAAAAAGAAGGAAGGAAGGAAAGAAAGAAAGAAAGAAAGAAAGAAAAAGAAAGGGGAGGGAGAGAGAGAAAAGGAGGGAAAGAAAGACTGGTTGAGCTGGCTGGGCTGCGGTAAATTTTTTTATTTCCAAAATTATTTTCCATCAGCATAATAATAGTGCCAAGTGTTCAATAAATTATGTAAAGATCATTCTTTCCTAGACCTTAAGGAATTTCAGAAAGTCTAGGTGAGAGGAGGCTGCTCAGAGTCAAGTTGGCTGGGTCTCAGAGCTGGAGGGAAGAGAGGTGCAGAGTTATAAAGTGCTTACTGGATAGGAATCTGCTAACCGCATCCTAGAGGCTGCCTCCATCCTGACTCGGGCTATAGGCTCTCGGCCCAGGGACAGCCTCACTCACTGGAACAGGTCGCCCAGCGGCCTGGCCTAGTCCCACCTTCAGGCCATGCCAAGGAAAGAAGCTTGCTTGCATTTAGTATTGCAGGAAAGGTGAACCCTGAATCCTTCTCACTCTGTATTTAACACACACACACACACACACACACACACACACACACACACGCATGCACACGCATGCACACACACACACTCGTACACATGATTCACTTAGTTCTAAGTTTAGATCATATGCCCTGAAAAATGCATGCTTTTTCAAAGCCTTACTGAAGGTGTCCTAACAGAGGTTCAGAGCAACCTTGAGAAACTATCCAAAATGTATCAGGCTGCAGAGGCCCAAGGAAGAAAAGGAAGTAACCCCACCCTCTCCTATAACTCTGAAATCCTACCAAGTTGATTTCAGTCCAGCTACCCTATTTTTCCCCTAGAAATGCCAGCTTCACCGAGCCCTAACCTGGCAGTTCTGAACTAAAGGTGACTTTGCTCTCCAGTTGATATTTGGCAATATCATAGACACTTTTGGTTATCACAACTAGAGTAGGTCCTAGAGGTTAAAGATGCTGCTAAACTTCCTACAATGCACAGGACAGCCTCCATAGCTAAAAATTATCCAGGCTAAAATAGCAATAGTATCCAGGTTGAGGAATTCTGGCCCTCGAGCAAAGCCCAACACTTTAAAAGAAGTAGCCCCTCAGGACTCCTCCAGCTCTGGAGGGAGAAGGCAGACAGGAGCCTCAGGAGGGGAGCCCAAGAGAATCCTTTCACAGGTGCCAGCAGACCCCTTTTTCTTGTTGCTTTGCCTCCACACAAAACCCTGGCCTCCGAAAAGATTAAATAAAACCCATGACTCCCAGCCCTCCGGCTGTATAACCCTGCCCCTCATATCCTATTTCCCCCCTGCACACCCTCACTCTTGGAGCACAGTTGGAAATACAAATTGTAATCTTTACTGTCCAGCCCTCAAAGACCTGGCCTGGCTTGCTTCCTCTCCCAGGGACAAAGTCTTCTGGCCGTCCTGCCTCCCCTTGAGATGAACCCCCAACCCTGCCTCTTCCACCAACTGTAAGTTTTTCTTCTCCATCTCCCTCTACCCCTCCTTTCCTTTCTAATTAAGCCACATCCAGGGTGTTGCGGAGGAGGGGGAAGGATTCTGAAGACTTCCGTGCTGCAGGTTCTGGGGGCCTACAGCCTCACGGTTTTTGTGAGGTGCCAACCACACTGTGATCATTAAACCCCACAGTGCTGCTGATGGAGGGGGTGGCTTTTCTTGTTGCTGTTAACCTAGGAGCCAGCTACATCTTGTTTATCAGACTTGTTTTAATTCAGCTTGGTCAGGTTCCAAGTGTTGAGGTAGAGATTAAAGGCAACTGAAGAATCCAATTAGCTGCCCAGTCTTCTTTAAGCCAAAAACTCAGGTCACAAACTAGATCAAAGTGAAATTATTTCTCAACAGCTCTGTTCATTAAGGGGAGGGCAGGCGCTCACACTGCTAAGCTGGGCTCATTACTGGGACTGGCGTTTTAAATACAGTATCTCCCCCAAATTACATGTTTCAGAGGTCAGAGAGAGAAACCCAGATTATCTTACATGAAGTCCCTGGCTAATAGAAACCAGAAAGCCAAAGAATGAGCAGAAGGCTTCGAGGAAAAGATTTAAAACAAGGCTCCAATTTTCCTGGGAAGGAAAACCAAATCTGGAACCTGGAATTGGCAATAAGCACTCCCAACCAGAAAATCCCTCCTCTGGGGGAGTCTAGGAAACTGAGAGCTCTAGGCTGGTCTTCCAGGTGACCCTGTTCACACATTTTCCTAGAGTCCTTCAAAACTCTTTTCCTGGTTAGATGCAGCTGCAAGGGAGGCCCCCTTACTTCCCTGCCAACCCGGCACAGCCTTTCCCCAGCTCCAGGCCCCAAGAAGCCTTTGCAGAAAAATCACTCACCATTTCTGGACTCTGGATCCCAGGCAGAGTCATTTCCAGCAGCAAGAGGGTCTCCCCAGCCTTTTGTTTATATCCCTGGGCTCTCAGGGCTGGAGAACAGAACCAGAGGAGAATAAGGAAGGCTCTGATCACATTCACTTATGGGATCAAATATTGGGTTGCTGTTAGGGCATTTAGAAACCCATGAGCTACATGCTTGGGGGGACAGAGAATTACATTCAAGATAGTAATAATAGGACATGTGACACCCTCCTCTCTTGAGTGCTAGTTTTGAATTGAGCCAGAAACCTTTAGACACAATGGCTTTTTTCCCTGTATATTCCTCTCCACTTAGGAAATTCTGCTTAGCCTTTTATACAATGAAGAATCTCTAGGTAGAAGATGGCATATTTGGGGCTCGTCAGGCCACAGGCTTGTGGGAACACAGTTCAAGTGTTTCAGGCTTTAGGATCTAGACATCCTTGGAGTCTCTGAAAGATGGACCATCAATGGCTTTGCTCCCAGGTTGGGCCTAGGAGCAAAGCCAAATGCACCTGCAGGTCTGCCTCTCTTAGGTAGAGGATCATAGGCATATGATGGGAAACACGGGTGGAGAGGCGCAAAGGGAAAGTGTCTGAAACTTTTAATCTGTTCCCAAGTGTTTCGCTCCAGCCCAACTAATTCCAGCCTCGAGGTTTGGGGGATCCTGGGAAACTATTATACAGTCATTCAAAGCATAAGGTTTACTTTGGAAAGGCAGTAACCCAGGTCCCCAACTAGCTCTCTCAATTTGTAGTGACAGCCTGCTTCTCAAGAGAGACTGGCAGCATACCGTTCATCTTAGGATCTCCTCCACCATTAACGGATTTAAGGACGCCAGACTCCAAGCCCCAGTAACTGTAACCCAAAGGGATTCTCTTTGCAGGATGTATTTGGAGTAAGAACAAGTCTGCTAGGTTTTGTTGTTGTTCTCCGTGTGAGCATTTCCCTGTCTAGGATTTCACTATCCTCCCAGATCCTTCTCCAGATTCTGGGGCTATCAGTGCCGCCAGGCCTCAAAAAATGCACCCTGGATCTTACATAGATTTTCTTAGATTCCCATGCAAAGAGCGGCCAATGTTTTTGTTTTGTTTTTGTTTTTGTTTTAAAACAGTTGCCTAAACAAGTTTCCAAATCTTGTCTTTTTCTAAGGAGACAGGACATGGGCCAGTAGCAGCGGTTTGGGGGAAGGTTGCGTTAAGGGGAGCTGCCCACCCAGTGACTGCCTGCTTCAGGCAAAAAAGCCTTTAGGGTGAGCACCCTGGGCCACCACCCGCCTACCAAGGGCAGAGCTCGAGATTTGTGCCCGGTCCTGACGCTGGGGCTGAGCGCTGCCCTTGCAGGACTTTGTGGCCTTGTCTTTGTCCAAAAAAACCCGAGCCTAAAAGGAAATTTGTGGCCGGGGGGTGGGGTTCTACTGAAGACTTGCAAACCCACACACCTTTGCCACTTGGTGACCTGGCCGCCGCCGCAGCCTGCGATCCTTGAGCTGAACACTCTCGTTCTAGGACGGTACCGCGGTCCTCACGCGGGGCCCCAGATGAGTGTCGTAGGTGGGGGGAAGTCGCCAGCAAAGACCTTACAAGGTTCCTGGCCCCAGTCCTGTCCCTCCCGGAAGGCGGACTTGCCCAGGGCACAGATGGACGTGCTGCCCCTGGGGTAGAGGCGGGGTCCCCCATCCCAGCTGCTCTGGCCTTGCAACACTGGGGACCCAAAATAGCAAGTTCATCTTGGGTCAGTCTTGCTAGAGCTGACCCGGTTCCGCAGCCCAACAGGGTTTGGCCGTTGAATCCGAGAACCGCTCGCGGCCCCAAGGCCTCGGCCAGCGGTCACATTGCTATGGAGAGCAGCCTGGGCGTCCGGCCTGGGGCCCCAGGAGGGCGGCCTCGGGAGGGTGCTGGAGGGACGCAACAGTGCGACCCCGTGCGCCGGGCGAGGGTCCCAGCGCCCCCAGCGCCCCCAGCGCGCACAGCCCGCTCCCCCGAGCCGCTGCCCTGCAGCCGCTGGCGCACCCCGAACCTGCCAAAGAAGCCACCCGTCCAACACTTCGAACAATCCGGGAGAGCGAAAGAAAAAAAATCCAGTCTCCCTTCTGTAAACGTTGCGACTCCTTCTCAGCGTTTTCCTGGCTTCTCATAAAGGTGGCCGGGGCCCTTTACAGTAAGAGCAGAATAATGTTTGCGACTGTACGACATAATTATCTCCAGACTTGCCTCTCCCCCGCCCCCGGCCGGGTTTTCACCAGCGAAAGCGGCTAATGCATTTGCGCACATTAAACATCTTGAACGCATAATTACAGGCTGCAGACAGGCTGGACAATAAAATATCTCGGCTCGATATTTTTGGAAGTCTTTTGCGACTGTGCCTGGAATAAATAACAACCGCTTTCTATGTCTTCAGCCATCTAACTGCAGCCACCATTATTTCAGGACACTTCCACCCCACCTCGCGGGTGCTTTTGCGACCGGGCAGCGCAGCGGGGTAGGGGAGCGAGGCTCAGCCTGGCGAGAGGGAGCTGCGGCCGCGGCGCCCCGGGAGTCTCCCTGGCCTGGATGGATCGAGGCGGTGGGGATGCGGACTAGTGGAACACGCCGAGGAAAATGTGTTCCAGCACTGCGGGCCGCACGAGGGGCGCACAAGGCGGGTGGTTTAGGCCTCAGTCTGCGCATCAAGCCCTCTCCACCCTCTCCGCAGCTAGTCTGAAGACCAAAGAATTTGAAGAAGTAGATTGTCCTGCTCCTGCCTCGCAAGCACCCTTGGAAACGGAAATGCAGCTCTGGAGGGAAAGGCTCCTGCCCTCTGAGAAAGCTGCTGCGGAAGAAAGTGCAGGCTACGAGTGGGAGGAGGAGGCTCGGGTATTCTCATCCGAGAGGCCTGGGACTCTAGCTTCCCTAGAGTCGCAGTTGCCTGGTCTGTGAAATGGAGATGATTATAACAACCTCGGGACCTACTTCACAGATCGTTATGGGAAAGCACTTTTTAAAAAGATTTTTTTTATTGCCATATAACTTACATAGAGGCAAGTATACAAATCTTAAGCACCCAGCTCACTGATTTTTATATATGTGTACACTTGTGGGACTACTACGAAGATCAAGATATGCAATATTATGGACTCCCAGAAGACTTCCACGGAGCAGTTTTAAATTTTACTTAGTGATAATGTTCTCTAACTCAAGAGGTCAGCTCCCAGGAGTAGTGTGTGAAGCTTCCGGACACTTGAGGACAAGAAATGATAAAACGTGGGCTGAGAATGTACCTCAGAGGCACAGCTCTTGGCCTAACATGAGAGGACCTGAGCTCCTTCCACAGCAACACCAAGAAAAAGGTTTTGATAAACTAAATATATAGACAAGGGTTATTTACAATTGGTGGATCATTGTGAGGACCTTGCCTACAAAGCCTCAGGCACTCAGTCTTGGGAGAAAATTAAAAATCAGGTTTCACTCATTCCGAGACAGTGGGTAAAAGTGTGAGATGACACCTGTAAAGCTGACACCCAAGACCCTGGGCACCTCATTTAGGTGTTCTGCCTTGAATCTAAATCTGTTTGATGCTACAGAAAATCCCCCAGAAGGATGCTTGGCTGTGAAATACATGGGCGCTCCACTGTTTGAAGAATGCAACCCCAATAGCTAGCACCTACAATTAGTGCACTTCACAATATAAAAGAATTTATAGGGAAAAAAGTTGAATGCTTCACTACAACACTCTGACCCTCAATTCTTCCAGAAGAAGTCACTGTTACTTCTGACTTTTCTGTCATTCCAGACAAGTCTTTTAAAAAGGTGCTGGGGGTATAGCTCAGTGGCACGGGCACCTGCCTGGCAAGCTCAAGGTCTTGAGTTCAATTCCACTTCCAAAAATAAATAAATAAATAGCCCAGTGGAAACCTTTACTATACATGTGGCACTTACCTTGGGTGTTTTCTTAAACATTGCCCAAGACAAGCCTCCATGACAGGTGTATTAGCTCAGAAAGTTATGTTTTGACCCAATGACTCAGCCAGATGAAATTAAAGCTAACCTTGAGCAGCTGGGCACACAGAAGGGCCACTGTAGCCTGGCTTCTAGATCCTAACTTAATGCTAATAAGCTTGGCAGCCCTCATTACAATCAGCTAGTTGCCTTTGCCACCATTACCAGAAACTCCTTTCCTCCCTGGACTAGCAAAGCACTGGGGGGGAGGGGGGAATAAGGGGCTGATCGTGGCTTTGGGGCTTCCACCACTCTCCGGAGTCAGGGGAAATTGGAAGTGCCTCTTGGAATTTTTAACTATTCTGTCTTGGCTGCTATAAAAACCTTACTCTGGTCATTAGCCCACTCTGGGTGTCCAACTCCAATCCTATTTCCTCAGTCCTCTTTGGAGCTCAATGGGGAGGCCCCGGTTTTGCGCCCCACCCCCTCGCACCAGTGCAGAGGCAGGAGGGCATAGTAGGGGCTTAGGGCTGTGCCCCCAGACCTTGGACCCCACAGTGCTCTCCAGGAGAAGTCGGAGGAAACGCGTTTACCACCTGGGCGACCTTGACTGCAGCCGATTAAAGTTTAATCCGAGGTGTGTGCTCAGCCTTGCCATGTTATTTAAACACATCAAAGGTCATAAAAAGATTCCAATGGCGTGAGCCGGTTCCACGCGGGCCCGCAGGGAGTCAGCATTTGATTCTGGTTGATTTCCAGAGCCAGGATGTGGAGCGTGGGGCAAGGACTGGGGCATAAGAAACAAAGGGAAAGGTTTGCTTTCGTAAGGAAACGCCAGACTTCAAAAAGCAGCAAGGGAAACCGAGTCTCTGAGAACAACGGGACAGAGACAGCGCCCCGCAATTCCAATTAACTGGGAAGACACCTAGTGGGAAGAGATCGCAACTGCAACGGCTTCCCGCGAGCGTCCTCAGCCCACCGACGCGGCACTGGGGTGGGGGGCGGGGCACGAAGAGAAGCCCTTTTCTCCCTGTGACCATTTCAGCAATCAAGTAGGTTCTCTGCTACCGTAAAGACCCCAGGCCTGGGGCTGTACTCCCATTCTGTACCAAGGCATCATTTCCGCCTTAGGTGGACCTGTCTGGCTATCTTTG